AAAAATTCAATTAATTAAAATAATATAAAATTAAATTTTGTTGTTGTAGTTCACTAATGTTCGAAAAACCTCTTTATTATCTTTATATATTATTTATATACCAGTTATATATTAGTTTTATATTACGTAGGTATTGTGTATTTTTTATAATAATTTAAATTTTCGAATGAAAGTCTCTAAACAATTTTATAGACATATTTTAAAGTGCGATCATAGAGTAAAAGCATCCAAGGATATAAATATAAATGCTAAGAAAAACATCACAGAAAAACAAAATTAACAATATGCTTCAAGTGGTTTTTTGGTCCGAGAAACAATACACAAGTTGTAAAAAGTTAGTGTATCCTGAGAGAACAATATCGCAGAAGTACATAAAATGGTTTTGGATTATAGTCAATTTAAAATTTAAGAGCTTGTTGGGGCTGAAAACATTCACTTCACTTTATTTAAGAAATATTACATGCAGACTTAGATATTAGAAAGTTTTCCACTCACTCCGCATTGTCGTTCAATCGACGTCTTCATAGAGATACCCGTACATGTTTCCCTAGAGAAAAGACGGACATTTCTTCACTTTTTGCAGCTAGCTAACACTACGTAAAAGTCATTCCGTACATCTAAAACACAGGGTCGAACAAACATTTGTGCAACAAGATTAGGTCAAGGGAATTTATTAACAAGATCATACTGCAGGAAAAATCATAGTTCTTTTAGGAGTTTTGAGTATAAAGCCATACATACAGCTATTTTTTACAAGTTGCAGAGAATTAAATGCATTTGCTTTGTGACTGCCTAGGCTAACAAAAAGAACAGGAAAACTTTTTATTTCATTAAGAAAAGCTGTTTCATGATCCAACATTTAAAATTAAACTGGATGGATCTAGTTTATCTACAAGGGCTTTTTGCAAGGAATGTGGAAGTGAAACAACAAAGAATTGCGAACTAAGTGCGGCGGTAGGGTATCTGCCGATCAGCCACTGCAACAAGCTATTTAAGCAACATATTTAGTAAATGAATCGTATATAGTATATAGTATATAGTATAGGTTTATAACAAAAAACGTCTCCAGGTTCATTTAACCAATATAGTTCATCAGATCAAACTTCACTAATCGTCTCGGCTATATTTCATGAAATTCATTTCAAATTCCTTGACCATCTGAAACATTTGATTTGAATCTGAAGCAAAACCGTGAACCCCTGTTACGTGTTTTCATTTCCAAAGCTATAAATTTGGTTCGTATGGTAAAAATTATCATTAAGTCAAGGGATGATGTACAATTTAAAAAAATTAAACAAGTGAAAACACCATTGAGAATAAAATTTCAAATTAAGAAACAAAATCAGAAAACTCAAAAATGTTTTTCTCTGTATTGGGCACAAGATCAATCAAATACCTCTCGTTTGTTAATATAAGACTTGTAACTATAAATCTGGAGATTTTTAAATTTATAGGAATGCAAAATGCAATATATGAACATATTTAAAGGCGAGTGGCTTACCACTATGACCAAATAGAACAGCCACATGTAAAGGTGTAGCTCCATTTGGTGATATTTCATCCCTGGCTATTGCAAACTTTCGACGATCCAAGGCTTGTTGCAACGACAATATTTTCCCTTCGCGAGCAGCTTCATGCACGCGACGTATTTTATTCTGAAATGAAAGTTATTTATATTTACTTAAAAATAAAAATATTACAGCAAATATTGCATAAAGGACGTACCATATAATTTGGTACATTATTCAGAAATGCTTGTATTTCTGGTTCCGGAGATTGCATGTTCAACAATTTATTACCATCGCCATTCAACACAATTTGCGCTAATTGCTCCATATCGCCGGACGCAATTATATCTTCAATGCGTGTTTCCTTTAGGTTGTTTGGAATTTTCGTTTTTTATTCGAGCATTTTTAAAAGAAATATTATAGTGTAAAAATAACTTCGTTTTGTTAAGGAATTTAACAATTATGTAAAGCAATTACAACAATTAACTTAACACTTTAAACGATAAAAATGAAAGTAAGGAAATCATTTTTAAGATAGCAACCGGGTGCAAATATCACAGAAAAATAATTACAAGAAAACAAAACAGTGCTTCCTTCCTCTTAGGAATAACATAGTTAAAAATCTTCTAAAATATTGCAAGACCAATTAAAAATAATTGTTTAAAAATTTGAACTGAAATGCAATTGAAAACAAAATTTAAATTAAATGCGACAACAACAAATGAATTGGACAAAATTTTTAAAGTTATACTTCATCAACATAAGCTGCAGATTGTGACTGAACTGTATTATCCTCGGATTCTCCAGCAACGTAACCTTCAATTGCAAGTGAAGAACTGGGTGAATCTACGCCATAATTCTCATTTTCCTCTTCCTCTGTATGTTCAACATCTTCATTATTGTTATCATCGGTGATTGGAACATTTTCGGTCCCTGATTCTTCATCTTCTTTTTCGGTTTCCTCGTCAGGTTCGATATCTAAATTCTATACATTTTCATGGAATGAAAGTATTTTACAAAGCAGCTATTAAGCAAAATATATATATTTTTTGATTTTTAACTATTTTAATTTTTTGATTTTTTAGTGCTTTTTACTAAAATTGCGCACACAACTTGAAATACATTATGCACTTTAGCTACTGTGCTCTTATTTCAATGGAAAAAAAATATAGTAATTAAGGATTATAATAGCATACAATGGAAGTTTTATTCCATTAGCGTTCTATTTTCTTTTGACTTCGATTTTGTTAGAATGTCATCGAATATAAAAAATTTATTTTATCATATCACAAACATTAACACAAATTATTCCCAGTGCTGATCTGAAGAGGTCAGTCCTTTCGTAATTTTTATTATATATAATCTTACTAACTATTTATTAGGCTCACTGGGCAATATTTCCTTATGTTTGGAGTTTAAGGAAGCTGTATGTGAAATAGGTCTGTCATCTACTAACAATGCAACACAAATATATAAGATTGATGAGATGGAATTGAAGCGAATAAGACTTTATCAGCTATTTTTGGAGCTACTAAAAAAGGATAAAATAGATTTTACCGTGTCATTAGTATAAATGCGACTTCAGAATTTAGTTTTGATTTTGAATCAAAACAAAAGGTTACTGATTTTCTCTTAAGACTTTCACAATAACATCAAGTTCTTACAATATATAAGATTGATTTAGATTGATATGTGTTGATTTTCTTAGACGTTTTCATTTATTAATTTATTTATTTATAATTAAAATTTTTAAAAGTCTTGAAGTTTGAAATTTATTCCCCAAAAAATAATAATTTTTCAAAAATTTATAATTACAGTAGTTGCCCAATATAACGAATTACCAATTTAACGAATACCCATTTCAACGAAAGATAATTAATAAGATAATAAGTATCTGTAATTAAGTTATTTTCATCTCGTTTCGACTATAATGCCGTTGCAGCGTCTTTTAATCAAAAGAAATGGCAATTCATAATGTAGCAAAAGAGTCTTGACCAACAAGATTCTCAATAAAAACTTCACAATCCGTCCAGATAGCCAAACTGTTATTAAATCTCTAGTAAGTGCTTCAATTACGTCCTTAACAACTCAAGAATACCAGACTTCTTCCAATGAGCCCACTTGGCTTGACAATATCCAACTCATATGGGTAGCTGTACATATAACTACAACGCTGGTCATCAAACGCGAAAATACGTAGCGATAGCTAAAAAAGTTTGTATAGGTTACTACTTACTTAATCTAATACAAAACAGAAAGGTTCCAGTAACTTCTTTAGCTAAATAATACGCTAATTAGTACTGTGGTATCGAGAGACAATTCACTGCTCAAATGAGCTGTGACTTATAAGGTCGACACTTCAATTTTAACTACTTTCCTTAAGTGAATAACTTATGCACAAATGATATACGAATATGAATAACATTGAAAAGGTATATATACAGATTTTCTTAAGAAATTTTTAAGCAACGTTTTTACTATATAGAATTAGTAACTCAATATTCATCAGGTATTTTTAATCATTGTTTAGTACTTTTGATTGTTTCACACAAGAAAGTGGACCACACTAAAACCAATTCGTTGGTGAGAAAGCCAACTCGTTGGTAAAATACATTCCCAAAGAGACTAACATTCCTATATAAAAAGAAAAGTACAAAAATCTTCAGAACTAGAATGGAAATGTTAAAATTTTTGTCAAAGATATATTGTTAAAGATTAACGTCATTGAAATGCATTACTAAGTAACATAATAACACAAAAATTGATGAGAATTCAACTAGAATTATCATAAGATACAATACAACATCATTATTTTCCAATATTGAGAAATCTTTTAATGAAAAGATGTTGTTCACTTATTTCAGCAAACTTCTGCATTGAACAATAATAGTTCCTCTATTCAAAAATTTAAGAAACCCTAATTATAAGATATTTTATTTCACATCTGTATTTTTGACGAATAGAAGGTTTTTCAACCCAAAAACAAATTAAAGAAAAAAATATAAAAAACGATAGAAATCTTCAATAGTTGAAAAACAACGATAGGACTTCAACCTATACCAATTTGGAACTTCTAAACAATAAAAGGATTGATACCCCGATAATAAGAGTACGACTTACAAAAAAGTATGGACAAACATTGAAATTTCTTACATTAGTCCCTTAATAAGTGTTCTTAAAAACACAAATATTAAAAGCTATCAAAGAGATATACTCAATGATAACCTGAAAGACCTTAGATTATTAATCGATATTAAATAAATGTAATACGTATAAGGTAATGCTCTACAAACTGCAAAATTATAAACAGAACTTGACTAATCCTTTCTTATTTCCACTGAAAGAATAGTCGGAGGAAGCTACTAAGCACGTAATAAAAGTTTAGGAAATATTTTCTTAACTCTGTAAAAAAACTCGTCAAGAGAAACTATCAATTAGAATATAATTAACTCACTAATGATAGTACTCACTAGCGATTTGATCATAGAAAAATATGATGATGTCGATAGATTGTGATTTCGTAGAATCATAAGTTTTTTCAAGCGATGAAAACTCTTAAATATATGAAGCTGATTGATGTACTATTCGAAGTAACAAATAGAAGTTATTCGTTCTTAGCAAAACAAATGATTTTTCTTTTTTTCAAAATGTCGAATGTAGAGTGACGACAATACCCATTTTTGCATAATCGATTGAAATAAGCAAAATCAATAATATGTTATATGTGAGTTGAACGTAGTTGTGTATCATAGCTGTATCATCTGATCATGCCACAGGTATGAGAAAATATTTCCTAGACCAAAACTTCAGTTCAGAAATTTTAATAAAAAGCTAAATAAAGTAAATACCATAGTCGTTCATAATTCTTCGCAATGAATGGGCCTTTTCTTGTGTCCTGTTTTAAAAGTTCATTAAATCTTCGAACACAGTTTTGGAGTAGAATAGGTGGGTATTCTATACAAAAAAAAAAAAATTAACGACTTATTTTCAACATCGCCATTACCCAATATATTGGGACGTGAATGCATATTGTTACTGCTTGGTCTATTAGTATTAATGTGTGTATGTATGTTTGTAAATTTAATACTGACATTTCTACAATACTACAACTGCGAGTATTTAACTGCTGACTCTTGGGACAGTCCATGTTTTATTTCTTTTGTAATTGCTTTTGTTTTGTAGGTGTATGTACATTATCTGTTATTACCTTTATGTATGTTATTATCTGTGTATGCGTCAGAGCTCATCTATTAATTTCATACTATATTTTTTTAAATTAATATCATTTTCAAATGTATGATGTACATAGTCTCAAAGTAAAGTCTAACAAAAAACATTTTAGTAAAAAAACCTCAAAAATCCATTATACAAACATTTAATTCATAGTCCTTACATATCTATAGTCCGTACATAATATCTTTACATTTGATGGCTAATATGTATTTATATAATATATAAGGATTTCAAAAATTATCTAGTTTGAAGTTAAATTTTTACACTTAAAAGTGTAAAAGGAATGTATTAGGTTTGTCATCGAATATACCTATAATATGTCACCTATATATACATATATATATATATTTATATTTGGAGGAGTTGAGTTAATTTAGTGTTGTCGTTTGTCCATCTGTTTGTTTCAGTTTAAACTTCTGTTTAAACTAGTTACTCAGTTTTTGAGCTGTAAAACTTTATACTTCTATTTCGAATAGATTTCACTTCGAATATTAGTTTCTTTCTGTTTTTAGAAAAGTGTTCAAATAAAAATTGTTGCAGAATGTACTTATATTCGTATATAAAAACTTATATTCATATCGGTTCAGTTTAAGATATAGCAACTATGTATATAAACTGCGATTTAGACCCATGTATCTGTTAGGAAAATTTTTTTATTTTATAATGTATATATTTTGATTTTGGAACTTAGGCATATTTCATAAAATGCAATTTGTGTTATGAAAATGGGCTCGATCGACTAAAATTTAAACACAACTCACAAATAAACCGCTGATATTCTTGGAAAAACTTTTTTATTTTTCAAGGTATTTGCATCTACATAAGTTATAATTTCGATATATGAAAATATTTGTGGTACAAATGATGTCGATATGTTCAAACTATTCACACTAAAAGCTCCTCCAATTTGTATGTCTTACTAAATATGTATGTATGTGAAGTAAATATGTATAGTATATGCAATTACATATTATATTATAAATACATATATATATGTACTATTATATAAATAATAGCTCAATGTAGGTTACAACCGTATTTAAACTTTATTTCTCAAGAAATAATATTTATAAAATATATTAGGAAGACCAACTGAAGCTCCTATATCATTGTGTCAGAGTAAGAGGTGTTGATGACGATATTAAATAAGTTCAACAAGCAAATAAATAGTTTTCCAAGTACATTTGGTTTAAATTATTTTATATGAGTTTAAGACCTCATTCAATTTCAAAGTCGATACCTTTATTCGAGCTAAATTCCAATCTGAGCTGAAAGTGAAATTAGTTATATATTTTTAGTGTTAAATTGTAGAGTAAATTAAATTTAAAATAGAATAATAAGAAACAATTGATTTCAATCAAAAACTCCAAATCGAAATTAAATTGCAGTCAGAACGGTATCGAAATAAATTTTTATATATATGTTTGCATTTCATATATACGAGTGTATGACACGTTAAAGGAAGCTTAAAATCGCTACAATATTCCTATCTTACAGTTTCAAATGTTTCAAAATTGCATGAGCAACTGCCATTTCGTTAGGCGGTATATCAGCGATATGTGACACCATAAAATATGTTAGCAACTTTCCAATTTCTAGTCGGAGCGGTGCTGTCACGTCATTTGAAGAGTAGTGCAGGGTACATAGATAACTGCGTAATTGCAATATCTGCAGGTTGCATAAAATAAACAATATATAGAAATATATAGACATGCACATATGTGTACTATGCCTAGAAGGTATTAACAGTATTTGGTGCATGCAGTATTGGAGTTTTTTGAAGCAATGCATATATATACTATATGCATGCATTACAATCTGATAGAATTGTAATTATTTCTATTCAACTGCAATAAACTGAACTACTTTATGCACAAAAAAATAAAATTGTTATAAATTTTATTGTTTTATTATATGAGAGATAACAACGTCGATAAATGTTTGGTTGTGCATTTGTAAATTCGTCCCTGAAGAATCCTTGTATACAATAGGCCTTTGTTTTGCAACATTAAAGTCTAGTTTGTATTAATTTGCTGAAAAATTGTATATTTCAAGAAGTACTACATTGTGTTTAAGTTATTTAAATATTTAATACTAATTTCATCTAACTACTGAGACGTTTATCTACACATAACCAATTCGAACTCAATTCTTTTCCAAAACAAAATCTACTTTCTATGTTATAAGTTATTTAATACAAACACATTTAATTTTTATTGAAATAATGACTTTATAATATAGATCAATTTAGTTTTCTTATATGACATATAAAAATTCGCAAAATTTGTGCTAAAATCGTTTTAAAATTTTTTTCAAATAATTTCAATTATTTTACAATTTAAAATAGAAATATAGTATATGTGCTTTTATGCTACTATTTTTAATCAACATTTTACACCACAACACTACTTTTATAATAAAATTTTATATAAATTTGAATAAAATTAGTAGACAAATACAATTACAACTACAATACAAATACAAATAATTTGACAGAAGAGAGTTTAAGGTGTGTTTTAATTAATCGAAGTGTTATGAGCTTTAAAATTTTCCATATTGTACCTCATCATCATCATCCTCTGAATCGTTATGGTTGTTATTATGATCATCGTGATCATGATCAGCTATATTCTCAACAAGTTCATTAATTTTATTGATTAAATTAGCTTCAGACTCAGTACTTAACTTTTCAACTTCAGTAATTTCTTCTTCAGTTTTCTTAATGCAGGTTTCTTCTCCTGTTTCACGATCTTGCTCAATTATTTTATTACTTAATTTACTTTCTACTAACAATTCATCTTGATTTTCTTCAGTACTCTCATTATCCTTATTTAATAAATTTTCATCTTCTCCTATTATCGGCATTTCAGTCTTTACAGTTTCATCATTTTCGTTTTTGAGTGATTCATTTCGGTGTTCATTTAGGTCATTTGTTTCCACTGTGTCCATTTCATTATCATTTTTATCATCTAACTGACTATCAGCTAATTCTTGATTAGTCTCTTCTATTTCATCGTTGGTAACGATCTCAGAATCTTGTGCGTTATTTAATTCATTCTTAGTTATATCATTCTCGTTTTCATTATTTTCATTATCCCTTTCAATTTCTTCGTTATTTGTTTCATTTTCATGTATATCATCAATAATATTTTCATTTTCTTCTTTTAATAGTTGATTTTTCTTATTTCGTTCTTCTTCAGTTAATAAATTATTATTTAATTCATCTTCTTCTTTATCATTTAAATACAATTCCTCCTCCTCTACTTTTGTTATGTCGTTTATATCTTCTATATTGTTATCAATCTCTTTTTCAATTTCAGATAGATTTGAATTTAGCAATGAATCAATCATTTCGTTTTCTTCTGGTTCTTCTAATTCTATATTCTTTACAGTATCTATGTTTTGAACGAGCGCATCATTCTCTAAACTTTCACCAATACCTACATTTTCATCACAAGGTACTTCTGCATCCTTGTCATCAATTTCACCCTTATCTGAAGCTTCTCCATTCTCGGTACTTTCACCATTCTCGGTACTTTCACCATTCTCATTACTTTCAACGTTTTCGTTAGTTTCACCATTTTCCATACTTCAACGTTTTCGTTAGTTTCACCATTTTCCATACCTTCACCATTCTCCACACTTTCACCATTTTCCACACCTTCACCATTCTCCATAATACTCTTTGCTAACGTTTCATCATTTAGATCGCTGACAATATTCTGCAAAAGTAAACAATTGTCGACTGATTTCCTTCTGTTTCTTCATTAAAATGTATTTATTAATAACAATAAAGCAAGTAAAACTTTAATTTTACTATAAAATAAAATATGAAATTTGTAAGAAACTTGTTATGTACAATTGTGTTGTAAAAAGCTTTCGTATAGTTAGTAAGAGAATAAGAGATAGTTTAATGAAAAATAATGAATTAAAGGATAGGCGATTGAGTATCCTCCAAAAAATAGAAAGGCACATCAAGGCCGACAATAGCTTACTTTTGACAGTCCTAGTAAAAATTATAGAAGCTAAATAAGTATTAAGGCTTCCATGCAGCGTGCTTCAAGCATTTTCTTCATTCACAAACTGAGAAGTGATTTTATTTTTCCGAATTCGTTTAGGAGCAATTTTGAAAATTTCACCTCAACAATTCTTGTCTTGCATTGAAATGATTTTAAATCTAATATATTTTTTGAAGCATTTAAGCAGTTTTTTTTTGTATTAAACAGCAAAAGCATTTAAAATTGTGCAAATGTTTTGTGTTTCTAAGTATTTTTGTACATTACCTCAGCGTCATCGGAAATTTCCGCAGCAATTTGCTCAATGGCCTCATTCGTATCCTCCGCTTTTGAAGCTAACTCTTCATCCATTTTTTCTGGTGTCTGCGGCACTGAATCTATGCCATTTTCGGCTTCGGACTTATTAGATTCTTTAGCTATCTCCTCTTCGTCATTTCCATTTACGCTTTTCATTTTTTGGTGTAATGTGAAATTTCGTTATATTTAAAATTAAAATAATTCTACTTTATAAATCTAATAGCTATTTTTAAAGCAATTCAAATTTAGGAAATATTTATAAGCTTTGTTATTTGAAGCTAGTTCAAGCTCTAATTACTTTAAAATGCAGAATCTGATTAAGTAATACTCAGCTGTTATATGATATAATTCTATTCTAACTACTCATAATCAACAATGCAAAAGAGTTGAAAAGAAGCTTTTACAAAATTAATTCTAGTAGCACAAATTATAATATTATATTAAATATTAGGAACTACACGTAGTCCAATAGTTCCTGGGTTTTTGTTTGGAACACAAAAGTAATTAAAAACCCCTCTGATTGCTTCTGAAACCAATAATATTTTAAATATAATAGTTATTTCTAACAATTTGTTATTATTATCATGTACAGAGATAATACAGTTCCCTAGATCCACGTTTCAACAAAAGAAACTATATATATTAACCGTATTTAAAATAAAGATTAAAAAATAAATAAAAATGTTCAAAGAATTTTTTAAGTATAATATTGAAATTTTATATTCGAACGCAACGGACCCATAGACGATCTATATGGATTACGATAGTTTTACTCTTAAATCTAAGCTGAGATTTAAACGTTATATATTGTATATTATACAGAGAACTGTGAAAAGTTTAAGAATATCGTTCAGTTATCCTTTAAAATACCTAAACGCCATTGAAAAAATATCTTAAAGTCTAACACTATACCGGTCAGCTGTTCATAATTTAAATAAAGTCAAAAATGGTGGTCCAATTTGGGTTCCAAGCCACATCGATATCGTGGGAAGCTATAAAATTGTTGAGATATAAAGACGGGTCACTATCTTGCAGATAGCCCAATAATATTAAAAAGTGGAATTAACTTTAAGCGAGTTATCAGTCAAAAATGACAGAAATATAATCAATTTGCTCTATATTAAAGTAGTTGTGGTCGAAGATTAACCTTAAAAGAGCAAATATTCTCTTGAATTTTGCAAACAGAATTATTAATCTGCTTATTTCATTGCATGAGGTCTATTATGTGCCTAAATGCAGAACTATTGTAGAAGTTGTTACATTTAGAATTTTATAAAGAAGTTTTTACTTTAAAGCATTGCCAAAGTTCCAAAAAATAGACTTAATAAAACCTATAAAGTAAATTATTGTATGTTTCACACATAGATAGTAGAAGTGGTGAATGTAGTCCGCTGAAGGTATCACAACTAACCAGGCATATGTGCGTCTCAAAATTAACTCATTTTTTTGAGTACCAAAAGTCCTTCAAATAATAATATATTACTTTTAGACTAAATATTTAACATAAGTATTTGTGCTACTAGATCTATTTACTTACATGTACACAAATGTTTTATTTCAATCAAATTAACTTACCCATCAGTTAAGTCTATCTCTGACGTATTCTCAATGCTATCTTCCTTAGCCGATCCAGCACCATTTGTGTCAGGTATTTTGACACTTATTTTCTATATAGAAATACAAAGACGAAATTATAAAAATTTTTAAATTTGAAAAGATTTTTAAAATTTGAAAGAAAAGAACCCACCTTTCCATCGGCACTTTCATCACTCAATGCCTCCCAATCAGTAGCGACATCGGGTGATACACGTGGTGCTTCCGGCACATACAACAAAAACGCACGCTCTATTTCATTTGGCTTATGACGATAGTAGGAGGGGGTTCTCATTTTCTTGAATAAAATATGTTGTTTAAATGAGAATTTAGAGCTTAAATTACTTTTAAATTAATTTACATAGTCAACTGCTTCCTCGTCGCAACCGGCTTGCGTAAGTAAAGTGTAACAGCGCATATTATTTTTGGCACTAGCCGCCCAATGTAGAGGTGTCTTTCCAGTTATGTCGGTTTCATGTGCACCATCAGGCCAAATACCAATCAAATATTCTAAGATCTTAGTGTGGCCTAAACCAGCTGCTTTATGAATTATATTTAAGCCATTTGCGTCCTTGCATGTGACAAGTGCGGCTGGCACGGGTGGTTCCAACAAAGTCTGCAATGTTTCCAAGCTGTTGTCGATTACTGCTTGATGAGTATCCTTAACTGAATTCTTTGGATTAAAGTAATTGGAATTTTATTTTATTAACTAATTTCGAGACATAGTCAGCTTGCAGCTTACCATAACATAAGGCACAGCTGCTAGAAATCGCTTAACTTTTGAATTTGTGCTGGCTTGTTGCGCCAAACGATGTCCCTGTCCAGCCCATAGAATGCGTGTTAGTTTACCTATATCTTTTTCATGCATCCAAATACGAATTGTCGATAACTTAACTGCAAATTCTTTGAGAGAAATAAAGGAAAATCGTTGAATACTTTGTAGAAAACCGATCTAATTTCAAAATAATTATTTTTATCAATTTTATTTTTCTTTTCAACGGCTTCAGTTTTTGAAAGGATTAAGAATTTAAATTGTCTTACAAACGTTCATGTTGCATGCAACTCTTCAAGCGTTGTTAGCAATAACAACAACAAATCAAGGAAAACAAAAATAATGCGGCAGTACTAGTAAGAATATTATGACGTTCCTGGCAGAAGGACTCGTGCAGTTGCAATTCAATTGAAATGCATTGCCACCTACTTTTCACACTTTCGATTTCTATTTTTAATGTTACTTATCAGCAGTACAAATTTACTTAATTGAAAAAACACTAAAACAAAAATAAATTCTATTTACTTTCTAACAAAGGCCAAATGTTATTAAATACTTTAAAAGAAAATTAAGTTTTCCACAAGGTCGCAGTAAGTTTTCTTAAAGAGCTCGTGTAGGTGTAAATAAGGCTCGAAAGGTAAACAGACTTAGTGGAGGTTACTGCAGGCATATACGATAATAATTTTACTAATTCATCCTTCAAACTGTTCAAATAAATAAACCCCCGAAAAATTAAACATAACTCTATTTTAATTTCTGGTACTATTTGTTTAACATATGTTCTTATTGCTCCTGCCTGTATGCCTTTGTTGTTATTCTGTTATTTAATTTCTAGTTTTATATTCTGGAAAGGTAATATGTCCTTATGATATATAAACATTAACACACATACATGCATAAAATTTAGTATTATAAAAAATTACATATAATTGAATAATTAAATAGGAAATTGAAAATAATACTTAAGTTTTACTAATAGTATTTGACTATAGAAAATTAGTGTTAGTTACTAAGTCACACAATGAAAAGGGTATAGATATTTTTTGGTTCACAGTAATTTATTATGTACGTTCAATTTATGATGTCGAATAATTATATTTTTCATAATATTCATTATAGTAAAAACCATATATAAAAGCTGAACAAAAAACTAGTTTCTTAAACAAAAGATATGGGTTACCGAATATCCCAAACATTAAATTATTAAAATAAAAAACTCTTTATTATGTCTCTAACAATAGTTTCAATAAATGTTTTTATAGCAAAAAATATTCAATTACTTTAGATTAAATATATTATATAAAATATGAATATAAAAATATATATAAAATATAATATATTTATATAATATATACATCAAAAAATACTTAAAGGATAGAGCCCTGAAATTATTTACGAAATCTGACAGACTTGCCAACACCGTGTTATCAAATCTCAGAATGGTTACAGGCTCCTCGGGGATGTATACAGATCTGAGGTCAAATATAGCTTAGTCTGATAAAATGATAAACAATAATCCAGTCAAAGCGTAAAAAGGGGTTTTGAAGAAACCTCGCAGTTAATAGAGAGTAAAAGTGCTCAGGTGCACTGACTCAACTAGCCTCAACATAATAATAATATATTTTCAACTTAAAATAAGTTTTATTTACTTAAAAATTGAACTTATTTCTTTTGGTTATTTTTATTGGATAGTTCTATTAAAGATTCTATATAGATAGTTTTTGGATTCATTTCTTTATGCTTGTAAGCTCAGCTTGATAAAAAAAACTATTTCGCCACTGGAAACAAATTTTAACGTACAGAAGTCACTGCAAGTACTTTTGCATTAAAAAGGATAAAGATATCATCCCCTGCAATCCCTTAAAATGAATTAGAAAAGTATCTAAGTATGATTTAAATCATTAACCAACGTCTTTAAAAATCACTTAAAAGTAAAAGGATAACAAATCAATTTTTAAATGCAGCGAATACACGGGTTGTTAAGTAGAGGATATCAAACCAGTGTGACAAAAAAGATCCAAAATAGAGACTATGTGGACATGTGTTATACAATTATAGTGCCCTGAAACTAATTTTTGTATTGAAGTTCTGCAACACAAGCAACCCTTAAACAAGAAATTCTAGTTATAGTCCGTTTTATGTTTTCAATGTAAAATATTTCTTACTTAAAGATTAAATATATTGATGAGCTACTATAATCTATAACATTAAAAGTTTATTTTTAGATACGGGGTGTACACAACACTTGTTGTTTAGAGAACAACTGCAACTTAAATTTTGCGGATACCTACTATATATGGCTGATTCAAACTAATTATATATTTTTAGATGCAAACCACAATAAGTTACTGAATTTCATCTGCTAGGGGCATAAAACCAAATAAATGATATTGGATTACTATGGCAGTGCCGCGCCATTGGTGGAATTATTGGAAAGATGTTATAGGAAAGGTGTTGTTCAACAGATTGATAAGATGTTATTGAAAGGATATTATTAGAACGATGTTATTGGAAAGATGTTATTAAAAAGATATTATTGAAAAGATATTATTGGAATTACGTTATTGAAAAGATATTATTGGAAAGATGCTGTTGAAAAGATGTTATTGAAAGGATATTATTAGAAAAATGTTGTTGGAATGATGTTATTTAAAAGATGTTATAGGAAAGATGATAAAGAAAATATGTTATTGGAAGAACTTTATTCGAAAGATGTTATTGGAAAGCTTTTATTCGAAAAATGTTACCAATAACATCTTTCAGTTGTTTAGGGTTCAAAGGTAAATCATCAAATGGTATAAGTTATTCAGACAATTAAATTAAACAATTATTACAAGTTTTGCAGAAAAAAATATAAACAAATTTAGTGCAATGATCGCATATTTAAAAATTTAAAGCTTCGTACCATAAGAAGTCAAAACCATGTTTAATAACGTATATGGCATATTTGGACCAAGTTTTATAAATGCACAACTTTGGGTAATTGAATTTTAATGTGATTTTACAATATTTGTGATTCACCTTGTGCAGAATAAATCCATAAAGTTAAGATCCATTATTTTGTTTGATTGATCGACAAGTTAAAGTGCTACACAGTCCTGAATATTACAACCATATTATATGATAAATTAAATTTAAAGAAATAATTTCCAATTGTTTTCAAGATATATACTTTTATTCACTGTGAGCTCTAATTACGGTCGAGTGATGATTTCACAACAATATTTGAAGTTTCAAAATAGTCTAGGTTATTTTAAAGTTAGACTTATTTTAGTTTATTTTATAGAATTGGGAAAATTATTGTACATTATTCGATCTATTGGAAAAAATTGAAGGATTGTGGTATGGAATATATCAATCTGTTAGAAAGATATGTTGAGAAATAGAAATAATCAAATCAATAAAATTTAGTTTCTAATAATTTTTAGCAAATTTTATAGATTTATCCCAATTTTGTAAATCAAATAAGTTTGATTTGTATCCAAATATGTATATAAAAAGTCATGTATTACTTGCGTTCTTAGAATTTTCATTCAATCCAACAAAAATATAATTAATTACACATATTAGCGCAAGTAAACTTAAAATAAAGAAAATCATTTAAATTTTTAGAGTTTTTACTATTTAAATTAAATATAAAAATATATGCTGATTTAAATTAATATTTAACAAAAAAATATGCTTTAAATCAATTTAGTTGATTGTTATCAGTATATTTGCAATTTATTTATTATATTCTATATTAACTCATGTTTTTTTATTGAAGAAGTAGGAGCATTTTGGATTCTTAAGTGATATATGAAGTTCCTTACGTTATTGTATTGATGGGATATGTTTTCATAAAATTCAGTACAAAAAGATATATTGTTTCGATGAGTCCAACAAAACTGACTCATACAACTCTTTTTAGTATATAGTCAACCCAAACAATATTACTTAAAAATTTTATAAATTATTGTATTTAAAAGTTAAATACAGAGCTCTGTTGAAATAAGTATGTTACTCTTCTTCCTCAAACTTCACTCATTTATCGGCAGAAGTAAAAACTAATATCAGTCATTGCATTATTAATTATTAATTAATATATTGTGTATACAATGTACCAACAAACTATTGAGGATTCTATTTGATACGCAATTGAATTATTAATAATAAAGTTTTCCGCTACACACAATATTTTTAAATTTGAAAAAGTTTTAAAAATTAAAATAAATAATTTAAAAATGAATAAATTTTAAATATTTTAGAACTTTCACTATACACTAGGAAAAACACTCGAAAACACCTTCAAAGTTTAAATAAACTCACCGTCAAAATCACGACGCTTCTGTCCATTTTGTCCAGAATGTTGTCCGTTCATAGGCATAACTGAAATGTGAGTTTAGAAAAGGCATTAAAATTATATAATTTTTTTTACCTGTAATTGAAAATCAATAATTCTAAAGTTTCCCGAAAGAAAATAAAATAAATAAATAAATTAAATGTGAAAGCCACCAGCTTCAAATTTGGCTTCTTTTGTGTTTGGTCACTTGTAACCAACTAATTTCGAAAATCCTGCTCGAGCAACGGCGAGCAGTCGAAATTCAACACCGTAAGTTTGCCAAGGGAATGTGTGGGCCACATCATCGTTTCTTAGTACGCGTGTAACACTACAACGGAGGAATAATATTTACTTAGAAGTGAAATAATATTTTCACTTTCCATAGAAGGCAAAACCAACTATGCGGACAGTAATTTACTATAAGTCCATTGTAGCGATAGAATTGATTCACAGAATGATTCGCATCGATATAAAAAATCTATATCCTTAGCATGCGCTGCGTATGTGTACACGCATACCACCTGTTAATGGACGCCGAAAATATTGATTAATTTGTTCGTTGAACTCAATTAAACTTACTCACAAAAATTAAGAAGCAACAGAATAATACAAATAGATTAAAAAATATTGTATTAGACTAAATTATTCATCTTGCTACTATAAATATACTAATAATAATGTTATAATTATTTTAACTTTTATTTAACACAATATGTCGATGACTTATTACAATTAGTCTAAATAAATTTCTTTTCTAATTGGGCATTTAAACTCATCATTTGGGTTTATCATCATTTTAAACACAAATTCATTATGTCTAATGCCAACTAACTAGTTCTACTAAATTATCTGATAGAATAAGTTTAATACCAAACTTAAATACAACCATGTGTTTTAGTTACAACAAATCAGGTATTATAATTTAAGTACAACAGTATATGCATAGCTTTTAGGGGTCCTTCAATTAATACATAATGTAGATTCTTGTCATTTTAAACATATACTTATATCATACTTTTGATAAAAAGTATGATAGTTGTTCGATTTAGTAGGGGCTTAGCGTATTTTTATCAAACAGCGCATAAGCACCATTTTGTTACACTACATCCGGTCCCCGATGCGCGGTTAGCAAAATAGATATTTCTTTCAAACCTATGTTTGGAATGCCTGCCACGCTTCTCGGAAACCTACGTAATGGGATATCACAATGCCGAGTATAGCCATTTTCGAAGAAAGTTAAGAAGTTTGTTTTTTTCCTTTCTCTCTCTCTCTCTCTCTCTCTTCCTCTCTCTTTCCACACTCCTCGTAAACCTACGTAGTGGGATATCGCAATGCCGAGCATAGACATTTTCAAAGAAAGTTTTGAAGTGTGTTGTTTTCTTTTCTTTCTTTCTCTCACTCTCTCTCCCTTTTTCCCTTTCTCTCTTTCTCCCCTCTCTCTCTTCCTCCCTCTCTCTTTCACACTGCACCTTTGGTTGAAAGGGGTACCAAGTTTAAGGATTCGTCCAGTGGCCACTGATTTGTGAACACCGCCACGAGTTCTGCAATATCGTTCCTCCAAATTTTCGTTCTTAATAAATTATAGCTTTCTTGTTGCCCTGGAACCCAATTTAATGAAATTATGCTGAGTTTTCCACTATTTTTCTAATTTTTTAGTGTTTATGCGCTCTACTGTCGGAAAAAATTGCAATTTGTTGAATCAAACTACCTTCTTAATAGAAAAGATTGAGGATTCGAAGATACAAGCGCCTCCATCTTCTCATATCATTTTGAATTGAAGATTTTGTGTAACAGTACGAAAGAAGTATATTTCGTTGCGTCGTATATTTAATTACGATTATCTTAAAAAGTACTTATGCTTTATTTTGGAATAATTAAAAAAATAAATAAAATATAAACTATAAAAAATGTTATTATGAAATAAAATAATAAATGAATATTTCAAAATAGTATGAGAATAAATTAAATGTGAATACATAATAATAGGTGATATGAAAAGTAACGACATTTTTTTATCACTAGATAATGTTGGTACCCATATATCTTGCAACACTAATCCGATTATGTCAAACGAGCACAATTTGAAAAGTGGTATTTCCGACCACATTTTTTTAAAGACAGTTGTGTGATTCATTGCTTATGCAAAAAATAATATTGATTTGTAAATGAGTAAAATATCTGAAGAAATACTCTATATTATGTGCCAAATTTTTCATCATATTGCATATATCATATTGCAGATGTGAGGACATATCATTAGATCCCGACGTAACATTCGCTACAAACAATTCGCGTTTACTCCGTTTGTATAAAGTTATAAAATTATAATGTATAATAATTTATGATCCATATTTTCCACATATTTTCCTAATCTTATTACTACAGAAAAAAGTGAACCCGCTGCATAAATATGCTGAAAATTATGTACGTTGTACGGTGAGGATGCTGTAAGTGAACTCCGTATTTAGGCTTGGTTTGCTCGATTTTATTCGATTTCATAGTCCCCAAAAAATCCGAAAAAATTTTGCAACTAGTGGAGGAAGATCGTGTTTCGTGTATTGATAGGGAATTGTCTATTATGAGCTACTCCAGCCTGGTGAAACACTTGAACGAAGCAAATGGAAATTGCTTATAGTTATTCTTCTTATAAATATGAAACTTTTATTGTTTTAGTTTCAAATTTCAAATGTTGCATTAAAAATTTTTTCAAGCTAGTAAAAACATTTTTAATATATAAAGTTCCCTAACAAACTATTTTATATTAGACAACTGTTACTTTGGTTCAAAAATTGCAAACTCTTATAAGAGAAATCATCCATTTTTATTATTTACAGAAGGTGAGAATGTCGGGAAAAGTAAACCCAAGAAAAATCATCAATCAAATTATCACCAGCAATCCATTGATATAGCTCGGCTAATACACAAATGTTTATTCCAAAGATTATTTTTAAATAAAAAAGTGTTGTCGTACTTAAACGTTTTTTTGTTTATTGCATGAGTTTGTAAAATTTAATCAGAATTATAATTAAAAATCCCATAATCCAAGAAATTATTTAGCAAATTACATTAAATGAAAATCCAAACTAACAAATAGGCTATAATGGGCTATACTATACGACTTGCAATTGTTTCGTTATGTTACAAAATATTCAAGTGATATATATTTGCAATAGATCTGTTCTTGCATTATATACTGCAACACATCCACCATTTTATACTAAAAATATGTTTAAATGCATTCGGAAATTATGATAGTTCGACATAATGTCTTGGAATATTTTTGATCATTTGTACGAAAAAGTTCTTAACACATTTTCTTCGGTAATTTTTCAAATTTATTAAAAAGTATTTGAAGTCTTCAAAGTCTTTAAGGCGAATTGGCTACCGTTTTTTTGCAACAATCAAATTCATAATAAATACAGATATAGTATTATGAGCAATAAAGTTAACCCATTATAAAACATACATTTTAATGCCTCCTAACATTGGAAAATTTCTTCGTGGCAATTTCTAATAATAAAATTTACTCATTTTAGAATAAACAATTTCTTATTGTGCAATTCGTTACACACATTGTATATTAAAGAGAATTATTGTTTAATAAACTAATAAATCTTTATTAGTCATGTATATTAAAGATACAACAATGTATCTCTCTTTAGACTTTGACATCAAAGTCCGATAGTTAAACACGCACTCAATTATATCAGAAATTCTTCGATGATGATGCATCCAAGTAATATTGGTATTAACTCACGAGGCAGTTTACATATTAGAAGCGTCGATCGTATTAGATAATTAAACAGACACTTAGACTGAAAATAGAACAACTGTTCTGTTTTGTTAATCTAAACTGAATATAAGATCGGCACACTACTGGACTACGTTTTCGATTATTCGACTTCCAACTGTTAAATTTTTCTTTAATTAAAATCTAAAATATTTAAAGTAAAATAAAAGTTTTCTTGAATTATAAAAAATATTTTTTGTTTTTAAAAATTAACTATAAACTATAAAAGTTTATATATATATAAAATTTAACTATAAAAGTCATGCACAAATCTAGATAAAAATACTCATACGCACTGGGGAATTTGCGCATTCTTATTGAAAAACATCGGTGTTATTTTACTTCAAAGGACAATTTCTATGTGATATGATAGCAAGAAAAAAAATTTTGATAAAAGAAAGTTGAACCAAGAAGATTTTATAATTTTTATAATTATTTATAATAACAATATAATATTATTGTAATATATAATATATATTTATATATAATTATTTTGAGTTAAATTAGCTTTTTCATAAAAAAAATCAAAAATAACAAAAATCAAACTTAAAGGACTGGTTTTTGAGATGAAACGAATTTTTGAACCAAAAATCTGACAAATCAGTAGGTGAATTACAGTATATATATTTATATATATTTTTTATATCTTCTTTAAGAGTCTGATAGTCTTTATAGACATAAAGGTATATCTACATCTCATCTCATTCAAACTTAAATGCTATATCATACATAACATATTATATCTGGGATATACATTCCTGCAGTTAGTAGCAGCTCTTTTGTAAATATTCGATGGTATTTGGATAATTCAGTTTCAGGCAAAAAATTGATTCATAGGATCTACTTAAATATGTTGACTCTTTGTGCTTTGTCGGAGCATTTACTTTTCTTTAAAATGTTCTAATTAGTCTTTAAAGCGCGGTGCAGACTATCATTTAAAAAATTTCAAAAAATAATGGGTTTCTGAAAATTTTTGTTTTGCAGTAAAATTTTAAACTTACGGATCTATTCTGTGCACTTTATAAAATTGTCAAACATTGACACTTGTCAAAATTGACTATTCGGTGACATAAATAAAAAGCTCTTTTCCTTGTTAGTTGTCAATACCTCAAATGCTGTTGACAACTATAAAAATATGCTCTTTTTAAGCACTTTTTATTATTTGCATGCATGACAAATATTCTTAACTAAAATATACGCTCTTTACAAGCATATTTTTTATTGTGATTGGAATGCATGAAAAATGCTTTCGACAAT